CTTACTCGTTAGTGGCGCTGTCCAGAATGAAAACAAAATATTCATAATAAGGGACTTGTGGCAAGTCTAAACAGAATTATACTGTAATTACAAAAATACAGAAACTTCTAAATTGTGCAGCCCGAGTCTTACACACCTACCTCCTCGTACATAATTGGCTTCATTGTTTGCACTAATACAATTTATGAATTTTACCCAACGGTACATTTACCAACTCGCATGTCTCACATTTAAATCTTTGAGGGGACCACCTCCAGACTATCTGGCCCGAAGATTAGAGATCAGACAGCATTACTGCTGGTAATCTCAATATTCCTCATCCTAAACTTCACACATTCATATTACGTATGTAGATCGTGGATACACAACAAGTGTTCTGGCATAATAAAGGATAGCTACAATTACTATTTGAATTTGCAAAATTTCAACTGGATTTTTCCATCATGTGAAGTATTAAATTTTGCTAGTTCGTTTTTTACCGTTGAAACGCAAAACTCACATGATAGTCTATTATTATTTAAGAATTCTGATAGTGAGAGCTCAGTGGAGTTAATCCCAAAATTTACCTTCAGTCCTCAACTTAAAACTACCATTAGTCGTAAGACCGTTGTATCTAAGTTTCCTGACCAAACTCACTCAACGCAAGTAGTTTCGGAATTAAGGTAAAGCAAAAAAAAAACAAAACAAAAAAACAAAAAAAAAACAAAAACAAACAAACTTGAAAACAAACAAAATTTTGTTAAAGTCGCTATTATGAAATGTGATGGCTAAACAATGATATTAGTTCAGCAAAAGTGTTTCTCGCAAACTTTATAGTCTACCATAGACATAGGAATACACGAGATGGTGGTGTATTTATATTGCAATTAACAATAATATATTATCAATTGAAAGAAGCGACCCGAGTGTAGATGATTGTGAGCTACTTTGGTGTCAACTGTCAATTCGGCGCAAGGGAGAAGATGTATTCGTGGGGATATACTACCGACCTCCTGACTCTTATAAACCTGGGGCCTTAAATGGTCATGAAGACAGCTTGCTTAAATTACAAAACCGTATTATTTAACCATGTATAGCACCATGTGGTGACTTCAATGTCCCAGGTATGCAATGAAGCCCAGATGATACACCCTCCCTGACAAATAGTATCCAGTCAAAGATCACTGATATCGTCGGTGACTATCATCTAGACCAAAAAGTTAACTTTACGACTAGGAAAGACCCAACCAGCGGAACGGAAAATATTCTAGACCTACTATTTACAACTCGAACAAACCTAATTTTGAAAACATCCAAACGCGATGAGGAATTAGTGACACACTACTGTCCTCCCGATTAAAAACTGAACATCGCACACCAATAAAGAACGTAGAATTATCCTTAGACGAAAAGATGTCGATGAAACTAAGTTCTTCTACTCTGCAGAAAAATTAAATAATTAATGTATGCAGACATCACCCCTGTCCAGATCCGTGGAAGAAAACTGGAACCACTTTAAAGAATGGCTAACTAAGCTAATTGAGAAATTCGTCCCCAAAAAAGTAATTAGAGGACAAACAAGACCACCATGGCTAAATACAGACCTTATTAGTCAATATAGGAAGATAAAGAGAAGCTACTTTAAAGCAAATAAAATTGGATTAACAGTTGACTAAGAAAAGTTTAAGTCCTTAAAAAAGTCAGTGAAATATGAAGTTCATAGGGCTAAGTGCGTTCAGGAAATGACAATAACGGATAACCCAAAAACTATTCTGGCGATTTATAAACTCAAATCGAAAGAACATTTGATAGTGTGTGTGGCGGGATGGTCTCATAAAAGCAGCCTGGGATTCAGGTGTAAGAGGAAAAATTTGGAGGGTCATTAGCTCACTTTATGATAATGTTAAGGCGAAAGTAAGAATTGGTGATCATATGACAGATGAATTTCCTATCCATAAAGGCGTGAAACAAGGGTGTGTACTCTCTCCAATTTTATTTTCCTTATTTATCAATGAATTTGTTAAGCAGCTTGGGTGTAACAATGAATGGTGTTTGGATGGGAGAACTATTCTGGGCTGAAGATTTAGTCCTAATAGCCAATAACGAAGAAGAAATGACAAGAATGTTAGAAATTGCTTTTAGATTTGCCAAGGAGTGAGTGGAAACTAGGTTTCAACCGTAACAAATCAAATATTATGGTTGTGGCGAAACGGATTGATAAGAATAAAGAATGAAAGCTTGGCAGTAATAAAATAAGAGAGGTAAACAGTTATAAATATATAGGGGTCATTATTTCTTCAAGTTTAATGGAGCATACTCATTATGAACATGTTATTCAAAAGGAAAATCCCCTCATTGCCTATATTAAGGGTATAATAGCAAACCCTGATGATTTTAATCTTGTTTACTATGGGAACTTATTATGGAAGACCATTGCACTTCCTTTAATAAATTATGCCTGCGGCATTTGGTATAATAAATCTAACAAAAACAATGAGAATTTGGAAAAAGTACAAATTCAAATGGCCCGTTTCCTACTGAAAGCAGCACGTTATACACCCAAAGAGGCACTCACTATATGGGCCCCCTTATCACAACTACAAGGAGTGGCCAGAACTAAGCTACTTCACCTTTTTATTAACATGGATGCTTACAGTGGCCTAATATTGTTCTTAAGTCTATGCTTCAACTTAAATGTGATTTTCATGATCTTAAATATAAATTCCTTACTTGTTGTGTAGATATTTTTGGAAAATGTCCTGATACAGATTTTTATAACCATGTCTTTGATTTTGATAACTTAACATTTAATTCTTTTTCTTTAAGTACTCGTAAAAATTATGTGTCAGAATGGTATAAAGCAGAGTGGTCTGACAAATTAACAAAACAAATCTCGTTACACAATTATTGAAAACTTTAATCTTCTCCCAAATTACAACAATACTTACTGGACAAAACTAATTTCTATGGGGCAAGCTTAAAATTCAAGTTAAGATCTAACACGCTGACCCTTGATTGTAAAACATATAAATGGTCTACTAACGTCTCAGGAGTTTGTAGCCTTTGTGACAGTGGAGAAGTTGAAGATGTAAAGCATTTCTGATTAGAATGTACGGCATTCGACGACATTAGAAACGAATTAACAAATTTAAGAAGTAAACGTACACTCTGTGATCTTTCTAAAACATGGACATTTTTTATATCATCAATTGCTGATGATAAATTATTATATATTTTAGGAGCAGACTCGGTTTCTTTTTGTGATGATTCTGCTTTTATTTTTGATAGTTACTGTAAAAAATATGCAATAAATGCCTGGGAAAAACGCTCAGAATTAAAAAAGACTCTGAGTTAATTGGAAAATTGTTTAAACCTAATGTATTGTTGCTTTAAATTTTTGTTTTCTTTATGAGTTTATACAGTTTTTATATTATGCAAGTATGTGCGAATGTATGTGGGTATGTGTGTGTGTGTGTGTGTGTGTGTGTGTATGTGTATATGGGTGTATGGATACACACACATATGTTCATGATTTTGGTGCTTTTTCTTATTTTTACTTGATTTTTGTAATTCCTGTTTTAATTTTGATTAATTTTTTTTTACGTTTTGATTCTGTACCATTAGTTTACATTTCCAAAATTTAAGCCCATACTGTAGTTAAAAACTTTTTGAGTTAAGCTACTTTTATTTTTTTTAATTTTTTTTTTTTTTGCATTCCTGGTTAAATTGCTTTTCTTTATATGATTTGTTTTTGTATTGGTCGGTACTTTTGTATTTTAGTTGTTATTGGTGTTAGACCACACCACAAGAGTTGTGTGTGCCACCGTTTTAAAGGTGAAGTGTCAATAAATAAATAAAGTACTGGTGTTTAGTTAATAAAAGTAAATGATAAACACATAATTTAGACCAAGAAAAAGCCCAGATATTGGCAGATAAATTTAACAGTGATATTTTTCAATTAAATGTATCTTATATACTTGCAGATGAATGAACTTTTATTTAGACCTTAAAATACTAAGGACGACTTAACTGACACCAGGCCGATTTTTCCACAGAACCCATACCAGAGTATACCTAACATCATGGTGCACTAGACACATCATGACTAAATAGGCCTATAGACATACAACAGTTTCTTGTCAAAGAAAAGTTGATAATCTGAATATATCTTTACGTTTTAATTTTGAGAATAAAATAGGCCTAAGAATAAACTTAATAAGTAACTACGGATATTTTCTATTAAAAGGTATCTTATATATCTGTTGATTAATGAACTCTTATTTAGACCTTATAATATAACATTACACAATATTAGCTTAAATGCAAACCCGATGGTCTCGTGATTTGAATACTCCAACTACTCCTATGAAAATTAATTAAATACACCAGATTAAAACAAGATGGGAGAGATGAATAAAGTGATTCAGAACTTTAAATAAAACTGTTTTTAAATTACATGGAACACTAAGACTACAACTTAGTCAATGCTGCAAAAGTATATGGACAGTGGAAGAGCCAACTGGAAATAGAAAAATAGGTTTGTGATTGTTTGGTTCGCACTGAAGCAGGATGGATTTAGGTATATAGACTGTCTTGCTTCAAAAATTATTTAAGTGTTAAATGAAAACGACTTTAATTCTCTTTTACTTTTCTTTTCCCGTATGGGTATAATAAGACGTTGCTCTCTAAAATTATGGACTGAATTTGTACTTCACTATAATAGCTAATTTGAACAATGGCGGAAGGTAATCATTCGTTTAAGAGTGATTGGGCTTACTTGTACAATTAAATAGTTATGATAACAATAAAGATAAATCGTAACAGACAATCATAAACAAGCCAATCTGAAATTGGCTAAAATATGATATTTAGTAGAATAATGCACTATATCATTAAGTTCCTCTTCTCTACCCTGTTCACGACACAGTGCCTTCCTGCCTGTTCCAACACGTACATCTCGTTTTTCTTCCTCTTTTTATAATAACAGTGCTAAAATATGTTCCTATTTAAGTACTGCTTTTTGTAAAGAATTGCCGCAAAACACTGAACAAATGATGCAGGAAACTCCGTTAAAGTTCTATGACGTTTATTACGATAAAGTATCCGATGGTAACTTTTATCATTTATCGTAACATCTCATTCAATTCTGTAATCAAATAACAATTAAACTGTATTAGAAACTTCTTGAAAACATTATTATGAACCATTCAATACAATAAGCCTTACATAATACGGTTTGCCTGCAATAAATGAAGACTTACTACTTTGCCGTGTTTCCTACAAACAGGTTAGCATACTGTGTGATCAGTCAATTACCAGTCAACATCCGATCACCTCCTGAACAGGTTAGCCTAAACAAGGAACATCAACCTTAAACAATATCTCAATAAATTATACAGTACTATATAAATCCAACATTACCAACAAGCGTTAGAATTATAATTACAACAATCATCTTATAGCAGACTGAGTACCAATACTGATTAGGACTAAATCAACTTAAGCTCATAATTATGATCCTGGTCAGAGCCCAATCGCACGTTTCCCGTTCATAGTGTAGTAGGCCTAGTAATACACACAACGCACATCGGCCTCAC